AGCGATCACAATGAAGAATTTTAAAAGCAAATTGTATTGGTTCTAAAAAATATATATAACAAGAAACTATCCATAATATAGACAGAAAAGCTCATCTACAAAATATGCTATAAATCACAAAATAAATGGATAAAACCAACACACAATAATTTTCTCAATGCTTCAATGCTTTCCTCCAAGTTATACTGATAAAGCTATCAGTTTTATGCAGTCACAAAAAAATTAGGAGACATGCTAACCAAACTCTTGCTCAAATGTGTGATATTTGAACAAGAAAAAAGAGAAAAATGTTTTTGCTAAAAATTGCAAGTAGCTGAAAATGGAAGTTCTCAAGAGACAGGTAAAGTGAAGCAAGACAGCCTTCCAATTGATAACTGACTAGATTTAGTGAAATATAAGCTAATAGAACATAATGACTAGGCAAAATAAGTCCGTCTGGATATCTTAAAATTACTAAACTGAAACTTAGTAACACTGAAGAGTTAAGAGTAAAGCATTAAAAACAGTAACAAAACAAACTTCACACCACTATTCAAAGAAAGAATGGAAGATTCTAAGAGAGCATTATGCTTTGTTGTAAGAGAAGGCCCCATGTAACCTAGACTGGTCTAGAACTTATTACGTAGCTAAGGATGACCTTGAACTCCTGATTCTCCTGTCTTCACTTCCCAAGTGCTGAAATTACAGGTCTATGCCACCATGCTTATAGTGTATGTGGTGCTGGTACCCAAACTCAGTGGTTTGTGCATGTTAGGCAACCATTCTACCAACTAAGCTACCTCCCAGCCCTAAAATTATTCTCTACCATACAGATCAACAACAATTTTCACCAACTTTTCTAATTTAAAACAAACTTAAGAAAACTACACATTGATGCTACAGAAAAACCAAATTACTATTAACTAGAATGCTCAGTAATGAAGAGGTTTAAATTAATATTTGTGTTAGAATATTAAGAGTGCATTCAAAGAATTGCAGCCTATCAACTCGGCACAAATAGTCTAAAGCCAAATGTAAGACTAGCAATTTTTAAGATTGCTCAGTTAATGAACTGATTATAATACCTGATTTATGTAGATACTCCAGAAGAGATATTACTATAAAGAGCCAAAAAGAAACTAAAAGCTTAGTGATAGCAACGGCATAAAAGTAGGATTTCAGGGCCATCAAATGGCTCAGCAGATAAAGGTACACCCATCAATCACTAAACCTTATAGCCTGACATTGATCCCCAGGAGCAAAATGGTAGAGTTGGCCTAGTCCTGCAAGCTGTCCTCTGACCTCTAACATGCACATGTGTGTGCATGCACACATGATAGACTGATAGACAGACAGATGTGTTAGAAAATCATTTTGAACAAGTCATCTTACATAAAATATTTTACTATGCTATCTAGGAATCTAGGATAATAAGACATCCAGATGCTCTTCATCAACAAATCACAGAACAAACACAAGGTTTTCTTTAGGCATAATCATAGCTATCTTTGGCAATTAAAAAAAAAAGAAAGAAAGAAAGAAAACAATGACTGGAGAAGTAGCTCAGTGGTTAAATGGCTTGAGGGTATAAAAACACTTGCTGTTCTTCCAGAAAACCCAGGCTTGGTCCCCATCACCTACATGGTGGCTCTGTCACCTTCTTTGAGGCTTTGAGGGCACTACATACATATTACTGTACATACAGGCAATCAAAATTATCTGTACAAATAAAAATAAATCATTTCTTAAAATTAAAAAGACAACAACAAAACAAAAACTGAGGCTGGAGAGATGGTGAAGAGCAATTGCTACTCATCCAGAAAACCAGAATTTAATTCTTAGAACTCAGGTAGGGAGGCTCACAACCTGTACTCCAGCTCCAGGGAACCCAAAAGCCCTTTCATCTCTACGGACAACTAGACACAATTGGCAATACACGGAGAGACAAATACACATACATGCAAATACACAGAATGAAAATAAAACTAGATTTCTAGGACTAGAGAAATGGCTCAGCTGTTAAAGAGTGTGCACTATTCTCACAGACGACCTGAGATCAGATTCCAGCACCAATAATGGGGCAGCTTACAACTTCCTGTAACAGCAATTCCAGGGAGTCCAACACCCTCATCTGGTCTCCATGGGCTCTGCACTCACATGTGCATATACCCAGACACAGTACACACATAGTAAAAAATGAAATGAATCTTTAAAAAAAGACCCTCAAAACTCAAATTTGTTTTATATACCTTTTAAAAAACAAAATACAAAGCGTTTAAAATTAGAAATAAAAGTCTATTTCATAACAAATTTAAAGCTTATAGAAAGATAATATGGTAATAGGAAAGATAAAAGAAGATCTTATAAGTTGACCTCACAAAACATTAAGTCTAAAGCCATACCTCAGAGGTTGAACCACCATCATAGGCACTGGTAGCCAATCGAGCCAAGTTGCAGAGATGCTGAAACAGGTTTAAGCCAGTCATGCTAATTGTTTCAGGCTTTAGCTGGGGCATCTTAAAGGAAAAAAATGCTAAGATTACTCTAGTGTGGTAAGTTAGTAGATTTTACTTTATTAGATGTGTTTATGAATTTTACTGACAACACTGTAGAAGTATCAGATTAGATTTGGCAATAATTTAAACAAATACTTTAATAAAAATTCTATTCATGCAAAGATAAAACCTGTCAGATCAGATCCTAGTGCTTTACTTTTCAAGATATACAGAGAACCAAATCAAGGAAAGTGAAAAAAAATTCTGACTTAAATTAAGAACATTACTATATACTTTTGTGAGTTATGTAACTAAATAATTTATGGTAAAGGGTATAAGTAAAATTCTAATTGTACCTTGTCTTAAAACTCGTTCATATATATTCTAAAGAGATAATATGAGTTTGTGGAGAATCTTTCTAATCTCAAAACTAAGCATAAAATACTGAAAAGAAAACTTCTTATTTTTTGAAACAAAGGCTCATGTAGACTAGCCTGGTTTCCAAATCACTATGTTGCTGAGGGTGGTCGTGAACTCCTTATCCTCTTGCCTCTACCTTCCAAGTGTGGGGATTACTGGCATGCACCAACACATTCAACATACACCTGTTTTGAACATCACTGATGTTCAAATGTGAATAGCTTATTTGAAAAATTACTATGTGGAGCATCTGATGATGGTAAACAGAAACCCAAGGTATATACTATCATGAATAAATGCCTTACCATATAGCTAAATTTGAATATTAGCTTATATTTTTCCTGAAGATTGGCAAAACTACAGTAATGTCATGGAACTAGGTCTTACACTTGTGATTCTGGGCATATATTTTAAAATTGAACAAGAATATTAATGATTTTAAAAAATAATTATGACAGCCGGGTGTGGTGGCACATGCCTTTAGTCCCAGCACTTGGGAGGCAGAGGCAGGTGGATCTCTGAGTTCAAGGCCAGCGTGGCTACATAGTGAGTTCCAGGCTAGCTGGGGCTACAGAGAGACCCTGTCTCAAAAAGGCAAAAACAAACACAAAACAAAAAACCCCCAAAAACAACAATAATAAATAAATAAATATGCCAAAGGACAGCATTTATTCAAAAGTTATTCTAAATACCATGAGTTTAAGTACTTAAACAAATAATAGATTATATTCATAAACACAAACTAAGTTTCATTCAGTTTACATTACTAAAAAGGAAACATTACAGAAAAATCTTAATAGGAAAATTTACATAAGGATTGCCAAAAACTGATACATTTATCTAATTTACCAAATGAGGTGTAGAAGCAAGGAGAAATAATACAACAAAGAAAATTATAGACGTCTTATTTCAAAATGTGTGTGTGTGTGTGTGTGTATGAAAACGATACAAACAATAAAAGTATCAGGAAATAAATTACCTTCTCCAGGAAAAGATGTTTGTAGGTTTCCATTCCCATTGCATGCTGATCTTTACTTCGAACTTGATTTAAAAACCAATGTAGAGCATCATCATAACACTCAGAATCTTCTACTAAACAATGCCACAAAATGTCGACTTGCTCTAAACTTAACCCTACCAAAAAAAAAAAAAAAAAATAACATATTTTATACTATATTAATATTGTGGGAAAGGGAGTGAAACAAGGTCTTGCTATGTAGCATATTCTGGCCTCTAAACCTGCATTCTTCCTGTCTCCACCTCTCAGGTCATGGATTATGAGTGAGTGCTACAAGATTTAACTTATATTTTATGTTACATTAAAAAACTTTTGGACACATGCATATGCATACATATAGTTTATTTTCATAAACAACAGTTTGTATTTATAAGTTCAGTGGCAATTCCTTATAGTTTCCTGGTTGGAAATTTTTCAATCAAGGTACAGAGAACATTTAGGTCCTAAATTCAATGTACTTTTTAAAAGTAACTATAGTCAAAAATGCAAAGGAGAAAGCTCACAACATTTTATGAAAAGCATGTTATAAGAAACTCCACTAGCTTATGCTATGAATATAAATATTGCTTATGTATAATCATGCATAACTAAAAAATATACAACCTAGAAAATGTTGTAGGGCTGGGGATATTGTTCATTGGCACATGCTTGAGGGTCCTAAATTGAATGCCCAGGAATACAAAAAAAAAAAA